TGTGTGTGTGGGAGGCGGGGTGAACAGGAGGACAGGGCACCCAAGCTGGCTGTGTGGGTCAGATTTCTAGTGCTGGGCACAGCCACGCACGCTCACCGGCTGCTGCCATCATCGTGGGTCACCATGAAGAGCAGGGACTTTGCAGGCGCGCCCTGAATGAACTTGGTCATGGGTCCGGAGTAATCTGTCGGGTCAATGCAAACCAGTTTTAGGAGCGCCATTAGCTGAGGCTCTTGCCCTACGTGCTGCACCTCCCTGCCCTCAGCGTCCGTAGCCACTGCGATCCTGATTCCTGGAGCTCCTCTCTGGACCAGGCATATGGCCCCGCAGCTGCTGGGCTCCCGCATGGGACCGTCCGAGGTCAGAGCACAATCGGATCAGGAAGATGCTACTGATCAACTCGACACCAGCAGCCACTTTGGTGGCACAGGCAGCGGGCTCTGCAATGACTCAGGCAGCCCCCACCCACGTGTGCGCATCCCAGTTCGGAGTGGCTCAGGCACCCATGTGCAGGACAGAGACAAGAATGCAGACCCGGCCTTGCCTGGGGAAGTCTTGGTTAAGGGGGCTGCCTACATCTTACAGGATAAAAGAAAGGTGAGCCTCTGACCCTACTCTCTACCCCTGGGGCTGGGTGCTGATAGCTGTTGCCTGAAGCCAATTCCAGCATGACAGCAGGGCTGCATCTGGGAATGGCTGATGGCATTTCCCCAAACCTGAAAAGGGATGATTGCTTGGCTGCCAGACAGTTCAGGGCATCTTGATCTACATGTTACTGCCTCCTACTGGCCAAACACCTGGACAGCCATAGGCTAATTCTCCCCCATTCTGACAATGCCTCTGTATAGGAAACCCTGACCCTTTAAAGTGTATCTCCACCTCGCCTCAGGACAATTTGTGTTAATAAAAAGCATGGGGTCCTGAGACTAAGGAGATCTTAATTTCTTAAGCGAGGCTCCTCTGACTCCCAAATGCCTTTCAAAATCATATTTCGTCTCTGGACTCTTTAAGTTACGCACAGCCCCTTCTCCAGGTGGCTGAACCCTTCTAGATGCTGCAACGAGAACCCCGGCAAGTTGTGCTGAAGTTACTGCCAAGTAAACACGCACCATTCCCACCGAGAGGCACGGCATTTCTCATGACTCTCCTTCGTCTTATAGAGACTTGTTAACAACTCTCAGGGCTGGTATATCCTGACAGGCAACATGTCCAAGACCCAGTGCCCAGAATGGAGCGACGCTGAAGGAGAGCGGGGGTCATGGGGGTTGCGGGGCCGGGAAGGAGCACACCAGACCCAGGACAGAAATCCCGATGATATTCAGGCCGAATGCTGATTGTGTTATTTTACAAAGATTTGATTTGAAACTGTCTCTTCCCGTTATCCAAGGAGGGAAGGGCAGGAGAAGATTCAGGACAAATGTGACCAGAGGAAAGGAATTTTCTAGCGAATGCCTTCAGACGGAATTACATGAACCCAGAGACGAAGGGGACTGATGGAGGGACGACCGTTCTAGAATACGCAACACCAACTTCTGGCAGTTTTCTTAGCAGACAGCTTAGTAAGAATGTTTGGCAATTTCGCTTGTGTTTTTTAAAATCTTGATTTATGTTTAGAACTCATTTAAATGTTAACAGGAAAAGCGTTTTCTTACCTCCTTCATACATATCAAAATACCGTGCTTCTATCACTTTCCCAGTCACATCTGAAAAGAAAAGGAACAGCTTTTAACCGAAAGCGCGTTGGGACTCGGGGTGCATCTGTGGCACCAGAGTTCTCAGCGTGGCCTGTGTTAGGTCAGAGAGAGCCCAAGATCTGATACATGCAGACACGTGACAAGATAATGGACTTCCCCTGGAATTTCTCACAGATCAAGGTGCCAGACACAGATACCGACTTCTTCTCCCTTAATCCACATAC